TGGGAGTAGCGGTAGAAGTCGTAGTCGTTGTCGTTGTCGCAGTGCTTGGGGATATACTAGGGCCTTCTTGGCGATATGTGGAGACATCTTGGGGATATACTAGGGCCTTCTGGGCGATATGTTGGAGGTCTCGGAGCCCTTTGCGGGCTCTCCCGGGGCGCTCTTAGGGCCCTCTTGGGGCTCTTTGGGAGGGGTCTGGGAGGTATCTTGGGGCCATCTTTCGGGCGATCGATCACAGATGGGGCGAGCATTTTTCTCCCCCCCCCCGTCGGGGCCACGATCCTCGTGAGGGGTGTCGAATTTTAGCCCTCCCAGGAGTCGAAAAAGACCCCTCCGACCACCCGCGGAAGGACCTCTCCAGGCCCAGGGGGAGGGGGTAGGGGGAGGGGTAAACCCCTCCCCGAAGGGGAAGAAGGGGGTTGAGAACAGAGCGGGCTCTCTAAACCACTCACGCCCAAAGGGCTGGTGGGATTGTGAGGACGTCCAGCCCCAAAGCGCGATTTTAAAGGAATCGTGAGGAAGTCTCCGGCGGGAACCGTTATTCTTGGAAGTTCGGGGGCCAATAGCCCTTTCCTTTCTGAGGTGCAAGATCAGCTCTTATAACAAGGAGGGCGCGAGACCAGGTAGGGGCACATCAGTTGTTCAGCTGAAAAAATACAAGGTGTTTTGGAGGCTGGGGGTCAACAATTCTTTTCGGAAGTGGGACCTCGGCAACAGCAGCGAACGACCACCAACAGACGAGCGAAAAGCCAGGCCACGCCACCCCCCCTCCACCCACGATGGTGTGAGCCCGCCCTCGGTCCCCTCACGCCTGACATCCTCGGAGCTCTGGGGAGGGCAGGGCCGCAGGGCGCCCTCTCCGCACATACCAGCTAGAAACTTGTCCCTACCCCTGTCCCTGGCATCACTTCACCTCGGTGCCTTTTCTCAAGGGCTCCCTCGGCTTCTGAGGGCACATCCCTGAGATTGTCATCGCCTTGGGCTTGCCGATCTCAGGGCTGGTTTTGCACCGCGAGGCTTGTTACGACTATGCCCCGCGGTGCGGAATCGCTCAGAGCCTCCTGCTTTATGAGAACCCAGACCCCGACGTCATGCGTTCGTCGTGACGTTGGACCCCCAGAGGTCTGGACCTCTTCCAGGGGCCCGGTGAAGGCCCCCGAAGGCTCAAAATGGCAAAAGACCCTCCGTCGTGTCTGGTCTACGACGCGAGGCGGTAGATCGGTCCGAGGCTGGTTATGCACCACGAGGCGGCGGCCAGCGCCGCGGCCAAGCCTCCCGCGCGACCCGCCGGAGGTGCTGGGTGCCGCCGGCATCGGCCCGCCGCCCCCTCCTCGCAGCCCTGCGCGACCCGGGCCCCCGCCACCAGCGCCGGACCACGCGCGCGCCGGGCTCCGCTCCGCCCGCCGCCGCCGCTGCATTGCGCCGCGGGGGGCCGGTTCCGCGGCCAAGCCCTGGTCCAGGAGGTGGGTCGGGTATAGTCGGGGTTAGTATTAGGGTCCTGGAGCACCTAAATAGGCCAGAGTCGCTAAACTAGGTCTGCCGTAGCTGGTGTTTTTTCGTGTGACGGCAGTTCCAGTTAGTGGAGAGGGGCGAGGGGGGCGTCCCTGAGTACACACCACTAAACCAGGTCCCATTAAACCTAGTTCTGCCAACGCCCGAGTAGGGTCGAGAGCTCCAGGGTCTCGCGTCGTGCATCACTGTGTCGGAGGCCTGGGAAGCTGTCAGGATTGACGTGGCTCACTGGAGGTCCACTCGTGCGAAGACGGGTTCCGGGAAGGGGCTCTGCTCTCTGTCCCTTGGCGATAGAGTGAAAGGCCACCGACATGCAGCAGGGCAATTTGCCGCACGGTCTCGTTCGTTGACCAGAGCGAGAGCAGCTGGAGGCAGGCGCATAACGAATTTCGTGTGCCCGAGGGGTGGTCATTGCCAGGGGAGTGGGTCTTGCAGCTGGGCAGGACTAAGAGGATTTCATGGTCAGAAGAGTTTGCTTAGCGTGTCGCACTGCCAGTTCTGGCCCACCACGCTTCAGCGCGACACGTTAACCACGCCCCAGCCCCCAAGCATCACTGTACCGAGCTTCTCCCGCCCTGCCAAGCGGAGCGACACGCTGTCAGTTCGCAGGGCATAGCGTCTTGCAGGGGCCCGCAGCGACACGCTGAGCAGCAGTTGCTGACCATGGGTCCCTTTCTTCATCTCCTACCCCTCTGGCTTCGCATCCCCTCTGTGCCGCCCTCTGAGTGCCAGCCGGCTGGCCAGCGTTGGCTGGCCTGCAGCCGCGATCGGGTCGTCTGCGGCCGCGGCCTCGGTGGAGGCATCCGCCAGTCGGCGTCGCCGCTGCTCCCGCTCTTCTCGCTGTTGCCGCCGCTGCACGCCGACGCCGCCGCCTGCCCCCTGTGCGGGTGCGCCCCCCCCCCCTGGCGGCCGCCACGGGTGCCCCGCTGTCAGCGTCGTCGCTGCACCGGGGCGCCGCCGCCGGGGGCCCGCTGCCGCGTGTCGCGTGCCGCTGGCCGCTGGCTGCCGCTCCTGCCGCTGCTTTTCGATGCCCTCCCGCGCCCCTCTCGTGGGCCGCGCTGGGGGGCGCGCGGGAAGGGGAGTCGTCGACACGTGGAAGCGACCCGTCATTGGAGTGACCTGTGATGCGGGCCTGCTGGGGTCACCCGATCGCTGAACGCGATGCGTCAGCAGCGGCTTCATCCCCCCCCCTCGCCCCACGGCCGCCCCCTCTGGACCGCCGTGCCCCGCCCCGCCGCTTCCCTCGTGCCGTTCGCCTTCCGTCCTGCCCCCACCCCTCCTCCAGGAGGGCCCCAGACCTCCTCGCCTCGAGAGAACATCAAGACAGGAATCTGTATATACGCACACACTTATGTATAGATATACACATACATAGACACATACATGCATGCATGCATGCATGCATGCATACATGCTCCCCTCCCCACCCCCGCACCCTGAATTCCGGCTGAAAAAGCCGCGCGCCCAAGGTCTTTGTTGCCCTGGGGTCGCTCTGGCGTGCAGCGCAGGGAGGGGCGCGCCCTCCCCCACGGGGTTCAGGCGTGGCAGAAAATCAAAAGCAGTTTTCTGTGCGGTCCCGCTGATCCCCCCGAAAAGCTGGCCCAGCGTTTCTTAACCAACTTGCCGGAAAGCTGGCTCAGCTTCTCAAGGGGATTGGCAGCTCTGGATTCTGGGGATGAATGGCGTACGCTCCTGGCTCCAAGAGCTGGCCCAGCGTTTCCTGAAGAAACCTCTGAAAAGCTGGCCCAGCTTTCTTCATTGATGCTTTTCCTGATCATCTTTCTGACTGCAGCCCTCCAGAGGTGCAGCCTCCTGGGGGCCAGCACTCGGGCCCTGGGGCCCATCGCGAGGCAGCCCGCGGCGACGAGCTGGCCCTCCTGGGGGGCGGGGCCGAGGGCTCCGGGCCCGGGGGCTCGCGCTGCGAGCAGGCCCGCGCCGTGGGCCCCTGCGGCCGCCGAGCTCCGATCCCGTTCGCCGTGCGGCGCGGAGCTCAAGACTCAGAGCCCTGTATAGCACGTTGCGAAGGCGCTTTGCCCGGCTCTGAGAGCTGAGACCGCGTGGCGCCTCCTGTTCTTCGGGGGCGGAAAAGAGGGGGGTGATGATTAGGGGGGGGGGGGGATATCATGGCGGGGGCCATTATGTTTCCCCAGATTTCATGGCGCCTCTTCTTGTTTCGTCACGTCCCTGGCCCCCCCGCTGGGCCGCGCACATGCCGCCAGTCCTGAATTGCACCCCCCCCCCTCTTGGACACCCCCCTCTTGGCCGCTCCCGAGACTCCTGTTCTGGCTCGGCGAGTTGCTCAGACACACATCTGGTCCAACAGGCCATGATTCCGGGCGTGGGTTTTAGTGATTGGACCCTCCCATTGGCACGCACCCTGCCACCCAGGGAAGCTGGGGGCAGCTGTGGCCATAGGCCCACTTCGGGGAGCTCGGGAGGTTACTTTGCAAATCCATGGCCGGCGCTGGGCGAGCTGCCGGTGGGCTTCCCTGCGAGTCCCTCGGTGCCGCCCACCCCCTCCACGCTCCCTCTGCCTGCCCGTGCAAGGCCGCCGCTGCCCCCGCGCAGCACCGCGCGCCTCGCGCCCGCGCCTCAATACCCGCCGACCGCTTGAGTCGGATCCTGGTCAGCGAATTCTCTCCTCCACTGCCCCAATCTCCCCATCTCTCCCTCTCTCTCCTCCTCTTCCTCACTCTTTCGCTGCTCTCGTTGCCCTTTTGTTGGCGGCGCCCGTGAGGTGGTGGTGTGAGGGGGGTGGGATTCTAAAAGGGCGGGGGGGGGCTTCTACAGTCGAGCATCTGGTGAAGAACCTCCGCCCGAACAGCTTGGCCATCGCTTCTTTACCAACTTGCCAGAAACCTGGCACAGTCTTTTGATCACGTTCGCCCCTACAGCGTTCACAACAGACCTTAGTCCAGGTCTGTTAGAGGAAACCTCCGGGAATCTCGCCCAGATTTCTTAAACAATCATTTTCTTGATTGAACGTTTTGCTGTAAGCCCAATTATTGAATAAGGTCCTGGCGGCCTCTCGGAGAGGCTTCCCAGAAGCCCCGAGGGCTTTGCATGAGCCGCTGGCCTTCTTGGAGAAGCTGCCCCCGCCGCCCCCGCCTTCTTGGAGGGTCGACTCCCTCGCGCAGCCCCCTCGATGGACGCCGCCAAGTTTGTCTCGGTCCACACGCTGTGTAGCTTACTGACCTCCTTCCGAAAAGTTGGGCAAGCGTTTCTCAGCCAACTTGCCAGAAAGCTGGCCCAGCTTTTTGAGCGCGTTCGCCCCTCCAGCATTAAAGCGAAGACTTCGCCCAGGTTTGCCTTAAGGCACTTCCAGGAAGCTGGCCCACATGTCAGAACTGATAGTTTTCTTGACCGGATTCTCGGCTGTAGGAAGCGCGCGGCCCGCCGTGGATGGTCTTGGCTGCTGTTGCGCGCTTGTCGCAGCTCGCGACCCGGAGGAGGAGGAGGAGGAGGAGGAGGAGGAGGAGGAGGAGATCTGTAACCTCTCTGGCCCAATTAGTGCACGCGGCCGCCAGCCGGCCTCCGCGCGACGGGCGCCAGCGCCCGCGCGCCGCCGCGATGGAGCGTCCCGCGGCCCGAGGCGCGCGCGCCGAGGCTGAGCTGGGAGAGCCGGCTGTCCCCGAGCCCGCCGAGGCAGGCGAGGGCGAGGAGTGGATGGCCCAGTGGCAGGCGCTTTGCGCCGAGGCGGCGGCGCTGGAGGCGGAGTGCGGCCCCGCGGCGCTGAGGCCCCGCACGACGAGCGCGGCGCAGCTGGGCGAGCTGCTGGCCGAGGCCGACTTTGTGGCCGAGGAGGGCGGCAGGTGGCTCCGGTCGATGTGGGGGGCGCTGCTCGACGTGCGTGGGCGCGCGGGGGCGCTGGGGGAGAACGCCAGCCTGGGGGCGGAGCCCGCGCGGCTGGAGGCTGCCTGCCGCGCGCTTGGCCGCGAGATCGGCGACTTCCGGGCCGAGCGGCTGTGCGAGTTCCAGGCCGCGGCGGCGGACGAGGCGGAGCTGGAGAGCTTCCTCCACTCGTGGGCGCCCCGCTTCGAGAGGTGGCTGGAGGAGCCCTCGGCAGTCGGCGGCGAGATCTCGGCGGGGGAGGCCGACAGCGGCCGGTGGGGCAGCTGCAGCAGCCTTGGGGTGTCCCAGAGCCTGGAGCAGCAGGCCTCCGAGCAGGGTGCACCAGGCCCTGCCTCTTCGCGCACGCAGCAGTCGCCCTCTTCCAAGGAGGACCTGGAGTTGCGCAACCAACTTTCCGACTTGGACTCAGCGGTCAAACAGCTCGGCGGGCCCACACTCGGATGGTCGGCTCCTGCCCACGCCGCCTTCCTGCGCGTGTTCCGCGCGGCCAAGTCGGAGCCCACCCCCGCGTTCTACGCCAAGGCCGCCAGGCTGCTGCCTGACAAGCCCGCGGAAGACCTCGCGGAGCACGTGCGCCGCTTTGCGGAGTACGAGGGCGTGCAGCTGCAGAAGAGTCAGCTGCTTGCTCAGTGGCGCCAGCGCCGCGTGGACGCCTACACCGAGGTCGCCGACGCGATGGCCGCCGAGCACGAGGCAGCGCGGCGCCAGGCCCGCAGCCGCGAGAGACGGGCGCGCGAGGAGCGGAAGCAGCGCGTGGCCGACTGGCGCCGCATGCAGGCGGACGAGCAGGAGCGCCACGCCGCGGAGCAGCGCAGCGCCGACCTGGAGCGCACGCGCCTGGAGCGCGAGCAGCTGGCCCAGCGGCGGCGCCAGGCCTCCGAGCAGCTGGGCCACTACCGGGCCCTGCGCGAGCAGCAGCAGCGGCGGGCCTGCGCGGCGGAGGCGGCCGCTGGCGCGGCCTGCCGCGCTGCCTCCCTGTGCCGCGCGGCCTCTCTGGAGGCGCGGAGGCCCTGCCGCCGCCGGCCGCCCAGCCTCACCAGTGCCCGGGGCCCCCGCGCGCCCGCCGCCCTGGACGCCGGCAGCGGGCTCCGCGCGGCCTCCCCGACGGCGCCGGGCGCCCGCCGCGAGCGGCCCGTGCCGCCGCTGCCCCGGGGCCCCTTCGGCGCGGGCCCGCGACGGCCGCACTCCGCGGGCCCTCGCGGGGCTGCGTCGCGGGCGGTCGGCGCGGCGCTGTGACTCACCGAGCGCGCTCCGCTACTCGCAAAGTGTCTGTCCGCAAACGTCAGAAATCACATGATCGCCTCGACGTAGTGGAGCGTGCAGTCAACCCGCATAGCAAGAATTGGCACTTGTCCCCAATGGTACCCTTGCGTCCATGCCTCCTCGGTCCATCCTTGGCCACTTTCGCTGGCCGCGCCCCGCTCGAGAAGCTTTGCAAACGGCCTTCCAAGGCCCTTGGTATCCTTATTTCGTGCGTCCTTATGATGCGTATTGATTGTAACTCCTCCTTATGGTGCGTATTGAGTGTAAATCGCAATGAATCGCGACTGGAGTCCCAGACCCCATCTTTCTGCGTCATTTTTCGAGCCGGATCGATCTATGAGGGCCCGGGGGCCCGAAACCGGGCGAAAAAGACCGGCTTGAAAAAATTGCGACGACAGGATCCCAGGGTTTGCCTCGACGTAGTGGAGCGTAAAGCCTCGGCGGCGGATCCAGGCCCTTTGCGAGTATAGGTCCTTGGCTAGTCGTGGAGCGCACTGGTCTGGTGACCGAGGGCGCCCCGCGTGGCGCCGCGGGCGCCCCGCGTGGCGGCGTGGCCCCGGCGCCTCTAGAGAGCTCGGCCTCACCTCGGGCGCCTCCAGGCCCACATCACGGAGGGTACACGCACATACACGTGTATGCTTACATACATGTCCACACACACACATATATATATATGTGTGTGTGTGTGCGTGTGTGCATGTTTATGTGCATGTTCGTATGTATGCATGCATGCATGCATGCGTGCGTGCATGTATGTATGTGTGCATGTATGCATGCATGCATGTATTCATGGGTGCACACATATATGCATGTAAGTACACGCGTATGTAAGTCTGTAGGTAGGATGGTCGGTCGGTATGTGTGTAGTTAGGTATGTAGGTCGGTATGCATGTATGCATGTATGTATGTATGCACGTATGTATGTATGTATCAGGTATGTACATGCGTAGCTATGTGACTAGGAGTATGCATGTGTAGTTCTAGAGGTCTATGGATGTATATGCATATGTATACGTATATGGGTATGTGACTGTGAATGTATACCTCTACAATTGTACATGTATGTGTATAGGTATATGTATGTGCATATGGTTGTAAGTGTGCACTGGCACATGCAAATGAATATGCGCATGTGCACATATACATATAGGCATAACCAAATCCATGTGTACTTGTGCATGTACATGTATGTGGTTATGCACGCGCGTATATATGTGTATAAGACAAATGTATGTGCATATGCCTATGTATGTGTATATGTACATACATAAAGGTGCGTTTGCATGTGTTTATCTATACGTATAATTATATGCAGTTGTGTGCGTGTGTATATACATATAGTTATGTGTGTATAGATCGATGCATGTGCATGTGTATCTGAACATGTGTATGTGTATGTATAAGTATTTAGACCTGCAGTTGCACATGCATATGTATATGCGTATGCACTTAGTCATGCATACGCAGATGTATATGTATACGTATACGTGATGAACACATATATATATACACATGTTCAGATGCATTGGTATACGTATGTGTTGATGTATACGTCCATGCATGTGTATGTGTATGTGCACGTGTGTCTGTATAGGTATATGTGTATGTACCTGTGTTGCATCGTCACACATACATACATATCTTGTGCTTCAGTCCGTGTGGTTTTTCTCGATGGCAGCCTCCAGGGCCCGTTATCGGGCCCAGGGGCCATCACAAATGGACCCTGCACGAAAACACACCCCTGGGCAATAGGTCGGGGCTTCTGGGGCCGCGGATTGAACAACAACTCACATCGGCGGATTTCTGGGGGGGCCTCTGGAGAGAGGTGGCCCCGGCACAGCCGAGGCCTCCAAGGTCTCGAGAGGAGCGCCAGGACGAGGCCTGCATCAGTTCTCGGCCCCCGGGGCCCTCGCTGGCTCGGGGTGAAGAGCTGGCCATGGGAACAGGGTCGGGACTTCCGGGGACCGCCGTGTAAAAACGGTCCAGACATCGGGGTGTCTGGGAAGGCAAACCCAGGCGTTCCAGGGCGGCACAGGAGGCCTCCAGAGCTCCCACCACCAGGCCCAGGCTTCTCAGGGGCTCTCAAACGGCACGAGAAGCTGGCGACAGCTTGGGCCAGGGCAGGATTCATTTCGATCTGAGCTATCCGAACTGCTATCGATTTCGGCTAGCCGAATCTGACTCTATTCCGATGTCCCGACGATCCGACACGGTCCGATATTCGCATGGCGTTGCTGTGCATCCTGGCGCAGCCGACCCGATTCGATTTCGACTCCGTGCCGATGCAGCCCGATCCGACGCACATTTCGATGTGATCCTATTTCCCGATTCGATGCTGACTGATCCTGCCAGGGGCATCGTTGGCCCCCCCCAGCTCTTCGCCGCGGATGTGGTCCTCGGCGTGCAAAATGGGGCAGGGCGAGGGGGGAAGGCGTCTAAGAGGACACCCCGCCTCTGAGATGCCCGCCTGTCTTCTTAGAAACACCGTTTTGGAAGGCTCGGAGAAGGGGTCGATTCCGTCAGTGAGGACCCCACTGCCTTCTCAGAAGTCCGCTCTCCTCGCCCCAATCCGTTCTGCTCGCGCACCACCGGTGTGGGAGTGGTTACCAACGGGTTTGCGTGGCTCCTCGTCGACGCCAGTGCTTTCATCAGGTCCGCGCGTCCAGCTACGTTGGGTCGAGGCCGAGCTCACACATTCCCTGCGACACCTTGCGCTCCACTCGCTGAGGGGCATGTAGCCTGATTGCCTGATGCAGCGCTCTGGCTGGAAACTGGCCTGCGCTGGCATGTGAATTAGGAGCTGAAGGTTGAGAAGCAGGGTCAAGGGCTCAAGAGGAGGCGGGTCAGGATGATGATAATGCTTATGATGATGATGAGGATGACGATGATGATGATGATGATGATGATGATGATGATGATGATGATGATGATGATGATGATGATGAGGAGGAGGAGGATGAGGATGAGGATGAGGATGAGGATGAGGATGAGGATGAGGATGAGGATGAGGATGAGGATGAGGATGAGGATGATGCTGATGCTGATGCTGATGCTGATGATGATGCTGATGCTGATGCTGATGCTGATGATGATGATGAGGAGGAGGAGGAGGAGGAAGGAGGAGGAGGAGGAGTTCGCGTGCATATACCGCACGTGAGCTGTTTCACACATTTGCACAAGCTGTCTGTGACTTCATGCATTGCGCTGCAAAAGCGATGATCAGTAACGGCTGGGATGAGGAACGTCGGGAGGATACCGAGGAGGTAGCGGTGGGCGGGGGTCAGGTAAGTCCAGGCGTCGGATACCTGGTTCCAGAGATTCTTGCAGCGTTTCAGAACTGTTGGAACTGCCGCGGCATCCGATGTGCTCTGAATAAGCCGGCTTTCGGACATCTCTGAGTCATTCGTACAGTGTTCTGTACACAGGAGGGATGTGGACATGTGTGTTTGGGAACTTCCAAGATATCAAAACTAGACTTCGGGACGCTTGCTGTGACACATGACAAGGAGCACTCCTTGCCATGCCGCTGCTGTGTGCTTCGAGGCTGGCGAGCAGATTCCCGAGGCATGCACCGACGCAATCAAGAAATCAAAGTTTTCTCCCACCCCTCCAGTGTTGTTGTAACAGTAACATCGTTTTGAATTCGCTACGCCGCGCGTCTTCCCGCTCCGCATCCCGCTCTCTTCTCCTTTTCTTCTTCTTCTTCTTCTTCTTCGTCTTTTCCCCCTTTCTTCCCACTCCGAATTTGTCTGGCTCCCGATTTCCCGAATTACCGCATCGGCACATCCCTCGTACAGAGCCTACCCCGCAAGGAACACCAACGGACCCACTGGGCAGGTCCGCATGCTGCCCCCCCGTCAATTCTGATCCGCCCCTGTGACACGCACTTTCCCCGTGCAGTTCCCTCGACGGCCCAGGTGCTCGCGTTCGCGTGCCGCCCCCCGTCCACTTCGGCACGCCCCTCGCTCGGACTTTTCCCCACATGGGCGACGCACAAGAACAGGGGTCTTCTGCGCCGACACTGGCGCGCAAGGTGCCTCGCGAGGTCGTGCGCAAGCGCCCTCGCCTCCAGTGTGGCGTGCCACGCTGGCGGCCCGCGTAAGCCACCGCGTGAGGCCGCCAGGTCATCTCGCGTAAGACCTCTGTTTGATCGTCGTTCCAATGGAGCTCCACCCACGGCCCCAGTGGACAAGTTCGCATGCCGCTTCCCACCTGACTAAGCCCGCATCTCTCACACGCACCGTGCACCGCAGGGTGCTCCACCTGCGGCCCTGGTGGGGGCGCTCGCGCGCCGCCGCTCGAAGTGGGTCGGGTCGCCCTTAAACGGCTCGTGCCCCACAGGGAGCTCAACATTATTCACTGCGTGGAGCTCCCCATATGTGCATCTACTCGCATGGACCTGTCCGCCGTGAATGTCTAGGCGCAAGAGCTTTCGAATATTAACAGGCTTCAGTTGTGACGGTCTGGACATCAATCTAACTGCGAATGAATTGGAGTGTGAATGAGCCTCAGTAGTACGAGCGCGTCTCTGTGCATGAGCCTGGGGCCTCCTGGGGCCTCCTGAAACCTACTGGGGCTTCCTGGGGTCTCCAGGAGCCTCTTGGGACCTCCTGGGACCTCCTAGGAAGGTTTCGTGCCCCAGGAGAGGCGCAATCTATAGCAACAGACGTACATAAAACATTGCGGATTAGAGCCACAGGAGAAGGGCAATCTATAGGAACACGCGTAAAACACCAAGGACTCGTGCCCCAGGAGAGGCCCAATATATAGGAACATGAGTAAAACATTTAGGATTGTGTACACAAGAGAAGGACCATCTATAGAAACATACGTAGAACATCAAAGAATCGTGCTC